CTGTACCAGAGTGAGGCTCGGTGGCGCCAAACGCCCAGGCATCGCGGTGGTTGCCGATGATGATGGACTTGGCGTCCTGCTCGATACCCTCAATCTTTCCGTAGATGTTCCAGATAGCCTTCTCCTGAACGACGTCATTGTCGTTCTTGAGACGGACAATGGGCGATGAGAGGTTACCTGTCCACCACTCAGCGACATCAGGGACACCTCCTGCCCATTCCTTCGGCACCTGCTCTCCGAATCCCTTGATATGTTGGAGCAGAATCTGAGCATCACGCCACGCGAGGGGTAAGCTCGGAATCTTCTGCAGGCCTGGCGTCTCGTCCGGCTTCATGCGCGGCAGGTTCTTCTTGCTCTCCCAGCCAGGGGTAAGGGGGTCGCCAATCACCCAGTTGGACAAGGCGACGGATCCTCTCTGGACTCCATCCGCAGGCATGAAGCGGCCGTTGGGCGCGACGTCTCCCATCCTGAAGCCGTCGTCCGCCGGGTCGCTGTAGACGATGCACCCCGCAAAGCCGGCCTCTTCCGCCGCCTTGACCTTCAACGCCAGGTTCGCCTGCGGGCCGTAGTATCGAACTAGCGCAATCGCGCCTTTGGTGTCGATCCCGCTGTCAGCCAATTTCTTGAAATCCGATCGCGCGCCGTAGTTGGCGTAAATGAGGGGCCCCTTGACGTCCCCAGATTTGGACAGACCGTGAAAGACCAGAGTCTGGTGCCCCGCGGCCTCTCCGCCCACTTCCTCCTCTTCCAGCTTCGCAGTCCACTTCGCCTTGCCGTCGTCGCCCAGTATCTCGACGGCTCGTCCGCCGGCCTTCGGGTAGTTCATATATACGTAGTACTCGTCGATGTTGACGTAATCCAGCCCTGCCCTGGTGAACATGGACTCGACGTCCATGGCCAGGGCGTAGTCGCCCTCGGTTCCTGCCATGTGGGCGTACTTTGTGTAATGGGCCACGGAGGCGCGCAGCCTGCGGGCCTCGACGTTGCCCTGGACAAACTGGCGCACGTCTTCGGGGTTGAAGCGCAGGCCACCGTTCATCCTCCTCGCCATGCTCGTAAACAGATCGCTCATAAACAGGGCGTACAGAATTCCCATGACAAACAGGATGGCAAAGACTCGTATGAATATTATAATAGCCGCCCGCGCCTTGTCCTTGTCCCAGTTTGGCAAGGCCTCCCGCAGCCTCCTTCTCGCTGACGTCGTGGTCGTGTTCGCATCGTTACCGTCGTTGGAATTGTCGTTGGAACCAGATGGTAGCCGGATAGTAGGGCGCTGTATCCTTGGCAGCCGCCATCGCCAAGACCACTTCCAGCGGGACAGGGAGAGGGCGAAAGGTATCCTCTTGCCCCATATTGAAGAGCGCGACCTGTCGTCGGGCTCGCCAATCTCCAGCTCCTGCATTTCCCTGCGCACGTACGCCGTCTCGTCGCCATCGTCGTCGCTCCAGGAGCTGTCCTCGTCGTCTGTCTCGACCGTTGGTTGGCGGTAGCCGCCGGGGCGGCGGGAGGAGGTTGCGGCGCCATTGCGGTGCAGCAGGGACTGCGACTCGGTCTCGGTCTGTGAGCGGTCGTCTATCGGGGAGCGCGGGGGGTTCCAGTCGGACGGGTTTGCCGGGCCGCCGACGGCGAGGGCTTCGTCGTACGAGGGGATTGGTGGTACGGACTCGTACCGGTGGTCGCGATCCGACGGCATCGTGGCGTGTGTGTGTGTGTGCGTGTGTGTGCGTTCGGTGGCCCCGGGAATCAGGGGTTCTCCGATGACGAAAGGGTGTTTGGTTGGTTATAGAGGGCGGCTGACGGCAGGCATCAAGAGACGCAGCAGGGAAGGAGCGAGATTAGTTGTCAAAGCCGGAGATGCAGTCCGGGCAGCGAAGGAGTGTATGTGTTCTTTGTGTGAGAATCGTGGGTGCAGGTGCAGATGAGATGCAGCGCAACGCAATGCAGCAGTCGAGTACTATCGAAGAACAGGCGCGCCCATGGATGCCGCTGCGGTACGCGCAGACATTGACCGGGTCTAGAGTCTATCGGGGCGGCGAGGAGGAGGACGGGTCGAGTGTCGTTGTCACGATAACATCCCGGCAGGCGGCAGCAGGTGAAGGGGTCGATGAGGGAGGTCTGGTCGTGTCGAAAGCACGGAGCTGGCGATCTGTGATTTGGTAATTGATTATTCGAGGTTCAGTTTGTTGGAGGCGTTGCCGTCGGGTCCCGTCCCAGTAGTCTGTTCCAAAGTGGCAGTCGGGTCCTGGTCTGGTCCAGTACCATCTCAGCAGGCCGTCGCCCCGTCCATGCTGCAGTCGCTGAATTAAACTGCACCCGCTGCAATGGACCTCAATACAGTGCTGTCGCAGCCTGTAGTCTGGCAGCAGCAGCCGCATTAGTGTCCCGTCCAGGGGCCCGAACTCCCGACTGCCTGCTGAAGCTGCGTGGCTGCCCACTGTCCTTTCTGTCTGCTCACTGAAGAGGGGACCCTGTAGCTGGCCCACTCAACGAGAGGCTGGAGCCAATCAAAGACCTTCAACGGAATCTGGGCGATTACGCAGGCCTGTCCACCTCTGCCAATGAGAACGGCGAGTACGGAGGGAGCACCCCACTCTGGACTCGGAGAGAAAGAGGCAGCCGCGTATCGGCCTTTGTTGCCTTATGTAATCACTTCCATTGTATCAGCACGTTATCCAAAGGGACAGGGGGCTGAAATTATGTCATCAGCACCGCCACCCTTGGCTGTCTTCCCACGACGTAGCTGGCCAACGACCCCTGACACGGTCGTCGGCAAAGTTCCCCTCCTTTCTCCATCCCTTGCCTTTCCTTCCGAGCCGTCTGCGCAATCAGCTGTGGTTGTGCAATCGCAGACCACACCAAATCCCTGACACTCTCTCTCCTTTTCGACTGGCGAATCTGGTCGCTCCACCGTTCCCCACCGCCCGCCACCTGTAACAGGAAAGGGACTCCTTGCTTCCACTCTCAAACGTGCCTCCGGAGGTTCGCACAGGTTTCATGTCCCACCATGGAAGGAATGCTGGACACTCCCCCGGGGCCCTCCGTGCCGGCCCTGAAAATCCGGTACGGAGAAGCTGCTTTTGGCCCAGACCCTTATTCCCCGGTGCACCGTATCCGGGCCCTTGCGGGCGTGCCGTGCTTTTTTTGATGTCGTCCAAATGTAAGGCTGTGATGGATACTGACTATATCTCTTAACCAAATTACAGAAAACATATCCTTAGGTACTAGAAGAGATGCTATCGACGATACCCTCAAACGCCGTGCTGCCCTGTTCATTCCGATACGAATTCCGCGCCGATTCCGACATTTCCGCCCGAGAAACAATTCCCATCAAACAATCAAACATCGCTCACCAACGCCGATTCCCTCACGATCGAAACCATGATAATCATACCCGGATACCCTTTACAATCGCCATCTGGACCGTGTCGTGGCTCATAAGACACGCCAGCTCTAGCGTGATGGCGTGGTGGAAGTACGCCGCCATCGTCCCGGGGCAACAACCAGCTTCGTTTCGCGCAGCCTCCGCCACGAGCTCGGCCATCGGGTACCCTTCCGAAAGACGTCCGATGATTATCTGGTTGGCTTGGATCACGAGAGGCACGTCCGGATACCAATCTGCGGTTGTTGTGGTTAGCAGGCCCTCTTTGTCCGCGCTGCTCGCAAGTTGGTCGATCTACAAACCTCGGTCAAAGATGAAGTGCTTCCTACAGAGCGTCAGCAATCAGTCAACGACCTCGATCGGCGGGAAAATCATCGCTTACGATGGCAATTCCAATATCGCCGTCGTATTAGACGTGCTCGAGCGGCTTGAGCCGCTGCAACTGCTTTGTGCCCTCCCGCGCATGCTGTTTCCTTTGTTTCGTCCGTTCTCGGCCAGTTCGTGCATTTTCCGACCGGCGACTGTTTTTGCCCTTTGTGATTCGGTTCAGAGCGTTCCAAGAGGCATGGAGTGTACATTTCTGCACTTGCAGAATACTCGTACACACGCGCCTATTATACGCGCAGCGTTGTACATTTTGCGTCGCCCATGAGCGTGTTTGAGCACATTTTACTCAGCAATGCGCGCCACAATCCATCCAACCAACAAAACCAACTCTTGGTAGTGGGCATATTTGCTCAGAGAAAAACGGCCTCTCTCGCAACTCGACAGCCCAATTGACTCAACTGTCTTTCATTGTAGAATCGTCAATTTGCGACACTAGTAATCGTGGGGGCATGACGCTCCCACCTTTCGAACCTGCGCAGTTTGCCTCAGGTCCAAATAGTAGGTGGGATATTCCAGCCCCTACGAATTGCCAGCGATTGGAACCTGTTGCTTTTAGCCTGCTCAGAGAAAAGCCACCTCTTTCGCACTTGGCTTGTAAGAACCCAATCGACCTAGTCGCCCTTGTAGAGTCGCCAAGTTGGGCCGAACGACGCGCCCACCTTTCGAACCTGCACGACTTGCCTCAGGTCCAAAGAGCAGGTGGCATAATTCAGCCCCTACGAATTACCAGCAAAATCATCATTGCTCAGAGAAAAGCCCCCTCTTCCCCAATTGCCTTACAATAACACAATTGAGTTGATTGTCCTTGCATTGCCCTTGTAGAGTCGCCAAGTTGTGGCACTAGTAACCATAGGGGCCGAACGACGCTCCCACCTTTGGAACCTCCGCGATTGCCATTAAAGCGGCCGAGGATATCCAAAGAGCAGAATGCGATCGAGCACCCCATACGAATTACCAGCAATTGAATTACTTTTTTTTTCCTCGCCACAACTTGGGGTATTGCATCGGTACCGTCCTGCAGGCTCGCGGAGCCTTCCGTTTCGTAGGTAACAACCCCCCCAGAATCGGGACTAGGGCCGGGGCGATCGATCGCGTTCGAGAACTTTGGGGGAGAAAAAGGCAGTTTGGCCTATCCAACCAACGAACTTCGCGTTTTCGTTGCATCTCCGCGGCGAAATGGGCAAGGAACTCTCGTCTGGGTAGCGCTCGCACGTGTTCCTATAATGTTCGTCCGCTACAGTCCCAACCGGGAACTACTGGTATTTGGAAAACAATCAGCCAACCGTGATCTGGCAACCGTCCGAAAAACGAACTTGTGGGGGAAAGGGGAGTTGTTGGAACCTGTCAGAGTCTGAGCAACACCGTTCTTGAAACTTGACGGATTGCCGGTTGTACAGTCCTCGCACATAAGCGGAAAATTGTATAGTCTGAGTCGCATTTGCTTATTTCTCTCGTATTCGTAGCTGTAGTTGTGTTTCGGCGTGAGACATTTGCCTGCCCACGCGGCGACCTGCAACTGTAGAAATTGAGCTCCAGCTGGCAGAACGTAATTTTCCTTCGTTCTGTGCTGTTTTCCTTCAAATGGGAAACCAGAAGCGGGTGTCTCGAAATTGTTGTTCGCGGATTCAATCACTCACAACGTGCCCATTTCGCCTCTGCTTCACATCTAGCAGGTCAGATTCTGTGCTGCAGTCGTCTACAGGCCACGAGCCAGGTGAATTTTGACTAAGCCGATCGATTTCGGCTGGTGATCGAGAATTGAAAAAGGTCGTCATAGTTCAATCTCGTTAGATTCGTCACGTTTCACCCGTCCTGTACACTCGGGGAGCCGCCCGACCTTGTCATCTGCCAAGTTTCGTGTTTGTCATGCGGCTCCAACGAGGGAACGACGCCTAAGTCCGATCTCTTAGACACGGGACTGGCTTGTTTACCAGAGCGAAAAGGCTTAAGCAGATTCCCGAGGATATCCCGTTGTCGGACCGGGACTTGGGAAGATTGACGGTTTCTGTTCAGCAGGGCTCGAGTTAGCCACTATTCAATTTGTTTGCGTTTCTCTTTCCGTGCAACATGACAGTTGACAAGGGGACTGTCTACTTGCCGTGCGGAGGCTCTGAAACTATTGTCTTTCCCTTTGAAGCCCTCGTGAGGCTCCAACAAACAACCGCAATTAGGTTCGCAGTCTTAGATGTACGACTGGACATGCTGTATCGCAAGGAGATGAACCGAGAAAAACAGCGACAAAAGGTTCAATTAGAAAACCTGGTATATGTAGTTACCGACCCAGCTTAACGTTCCTGTCTAGCAGAGCTCGAGTTAGCCACTGCCCAATCTGTTGCATTTCTCTTTTCTTCCGACAATTCCTGACAAACAGTAGGAAATGGACTGCCAACTTACTACGCTGTTTCCCGGTCATCATTTGTTGCCCTTCCTAGCCGTCGTGTCCGCTTCTAATGTCGTTGTTGGCAAGCGATTCGATCATCCGCCTTTGGAGAACTTCTCGCCTTTAGCCAATTGCAATCGTTTGCATCAAGCGCGTCTGCAATAATACAGAGTCTCGTCAATCCCAAGCGGCGTTGTTCACCTACGATATTCAAAGCCATCTTGCAATTCTACCGCATCTTTACGATTTTGAGAGCAGTTGTTCCGATTCTGAGGAAATATTTCGATTCGTAACAGTTCTTTCTGTTCTGGAAGGATGCGTCGATTGTGAAGCCTGCATGTTGTTAGCAACTTCTACTCGTTGTCGTCACATCATCAGTCTTTCGGTTTCCCCCGGAAACCCCGAACAATTGAACGATGGCCCGTACCTTTGAGAATTTTCAATTATTACCATGTAAGTGTCAGCCCGTTATCCAAATCCGTCGCAAATGCGCCCATCAGCGCATGAAGTCCTGTACGCTCTGTAGATCTCGCATTAGCCCCTCTACTTGCAGCCAGCGCTTTCTTATTCGTCACCTCCCGCGGGGAAGAAACAAACCAGGTAGACTTACCCAAAATTTCGTTTTCCTTGGAAACCATCCATCTGAAAACCCCTGTTCTAATCACCTGTCGTTATCGACCACTTGCTTGTCATTCGGTCTTTGGGGAACATTTTGCTGATTTCACGCATCGTTCGACTAAATTCTCCCACCGGTTCCGTAAGGACGGGGAGTGCATTGAGAGTCCAGTTTTCGAGTCATTCAAGTTGTATTGTGTTGTATTGTGCTGTACAACAGGTCCAAGCAGCTGATCGACTAAGCCATCGAACCTGAATCTATCAAACTCTGCAAATCTTGTATTAGCCAACTATTCTCCACGCTCTGACATGCCGTTTGTAACTTGTCGTAAAGCAAGCCAAGAAAGAAAAAGGAAAGAAAAGTCAACTTACACCTCTACGAATAGCCGTTGATGGACAACTCAGCTACACCGCTCTCCCGCACGTCAACGAACCTCTTCCTCCCAGAGCCAGAAGAAACGTTCTACAGGCTCACTGCATCTGCATACTGACCGCTGTCTCAGAAGCCTTACCGCTGAACCTCCCTACGTAGATGTATCAGCAAAAATCGGTGGGAATGGGACAATTCGGCTTCTGAAAATTAAGCCTAGAATGTCTCAGAAAACTCCGCGTCTCTCGTATCGGCTTATGTTTCGCTAAAAAGACCCGCGTCGGCAAAGCTGATGATGCTGCAAGTTCTGCATTAGCGGAGTCGACTAAGAGCCTCGGCTGGTACGATTAGAGGCTCGCTCTTTTCTTCTTCCAAACCCCAGAAGGAAGTCAGTACACTTTTCCGCGATCGATCTCTGTGTCTCGGATTCCTCGCAGTTTTCGGCCAGCTCCGCCCCTGCTTAGCCGTGCCAAGCTCAGCTTCCGGTCGGCAGAAGACGGGCACGGCAAGGAAAAAAGCAAGCATGGAGCTGCCGGCGAGAAGATCACGACGTAGGAGCCGATGATTGGGCCGCTGCGGTCGTCTTACTGCCAGATCGTAGCGCCGCTAGTTGCCCTAACGTCTTTCTTTTGCTCGAAACTCGCATTAGTGTACCATTCGATCTAGAAAGTGTAATGCGGTGCAACTCTGACAGCTTGTAAATTTCATTTACCTAAGTTTTCCTAGGAGGACGGTCTCCCCCCCATCGGCAATACTTGCTCCCTTTTGCGTGGTTTGTCTCGTCGTTCCACGTTTCGCACAGGTTGCTATTCCCCCTTTTGATGCTGTCTCCGGAGGAGGGAGGGGGTGTGTGAAGCTCGGCGGCATCTCTACTCCAGCTTCTCCCCCAGGATTCCCGTTGGACTCCGCCTTTGGGCAGGGAGGCTATTCAGGAATGAGCTGATATGCGGAGTCGTCCCGCGTATGACTTCGTCGCTCGCTATAATTCGATATTGTGTGGCGCTTCCGTCTTTTCAGAGTCCAGTCTGTTGCCTTTCGCTGTTTCTGTCGCTCTAGGGGGAGAGTCGTTTCGGTCTGCCCAGGCGGACAACAGCAGCAACAACATACCTTTGCTCTAGTTGCCTGGTCTGCTGTTCTGTTTTTTCTCCCCCGGGTGAAGGGAGATAGGGCCAGGCAGCGAATAGAGAATGGCAACGTCACATTCGTCTGGTAGGCTTCTCCTTGGTTGTTGATGGCGCCAGTGGGCCTTGGCGAGAGCCGTGATCGTAGCCGGGTCGTAGTGTCGCGGATGCTGATACTGGATCGATCTTTGTGTAACGGGTTCACGCCTCACCGGATCTTGCCCTGGGTGGATCAATCATTGCTTCTTCTCATTCAACTAAGGTACAGAACTAGTAGCCATCAGGCCTCTCCGATGATCTTCTTTTCGCTTACCTGGGCGAAGTATCTACTTGAGAGGGGCTGACTTCAGGTGGTTGTTGGTGTCAGCCTGGCCGCGGGAACCGCGCTTGTGCTCGCTTGCTAGAGGTGTGGTTCCGCGTCACAGGACCCCTGGCCAACCTGAACAAGAAGACTACAGCAATCAACGATTGACTGTCTCAGGCATTGGAAAGACGCGATGTCTCCGTTTGTTTGAGCACCGGATGCTTGGTGTCACTTCGTACATATCGTAAAGAAATTGGGAAAAAAAGTCTGCTCCGAACGGGGGTTTGAGAGACGAGGATGCCTCCTGGATATTATTAGCTCAGGGCAACGGGCAGATTTGACAATCGGGAAGCCCAAGCGTCCACCGAGTTGTCATCCGAAAGCCTCGCAATGCAAAAGAAACGTCGTTTGTTTGATGGGCAAAAGACGGCATGATAAGAACCGTAAGCTATTCAATGACGAATGAAGGACGAATCACAACCACGATAATCGGCGGTTTGGGCCAACAGAGTAGAAAGGGCAACATTGAGGGATCGGGGTGCGTTCGATAGTGATGAGCAGGGGGGCTCAGACAGCTTGAAGAACCTTTTCTGAGGAGTGTTAGTGCCCGACGGGCGTCTCCGCCGAGATTCGTAGGCGGGATCCTCAGCACCACTATCGCTACACGAGAGTCCGCAGCCCACACATAGACTTATTTGCAGGCAGGTAGGTGTGTCTGACTGACTGTGTGTATGGACTGTGGGTGTGGTGAGACGCGGCTATGCTTTTCGGCAACTCCTTTTCGTCCTCGTCATCGCAAACAATCTGGAATCAACTCGGAGTTCAAACGCGCTAGGCGACAGAGCCCTCATGAACGGACTGAAGCCCATACCAAGTCATAGCGGTGCGAAGCTGGCAGAGTCTTGCCCATCAGCCCGTCTTTCTGGAAAGGTGGAAGCATGTCAAGAAGCAAGAAGGCCGCCCCAAAGTTAACAGAGGGGACCATGGGACGCCAAGACCCAAACACAGCTGGGTCAGCCAGAGTTCGGTGGGAGTTCGGTACGGTTCGAGCTGCCCAAAGATGGTGTTGGAATTTTGGTGACAAAAAGCTACTGCCCAGCCCCAGTCTCTGCAGTAGCCTGAGACGACGAAGCAAGTCACTAGACCTTTCGTCGGTCGGGGGAGGAACCAGCAACAGAACAATCTGCGTCTGACACTGCCAGTCCACGCCCGTGAGCGGGAACTCTTCTGCTCTGCATGTTGAGAGACTGTAGCGGTTTCCTTCTCCCACAACCCGTTTGGGAAACTGTCAAACTTCGGGATGGATGATGGTCTAAGTCCTGGCGTGGGCAACCGGTTCCGACTAAGGTGAAGCTAGGCATCGCGTAAGGGGAGAACAACACGAGGAGCCGTCCGTCCGTCACCCGAGGCACACGAGATGGCGATACCGGTTGCTGCTTAGCTCGATCACGACGCACTTTGACTCTATCCGACAATGCGCGCGGGGGGCAGTCGAAAGATCCCTCGGTTGTGTTACTGTGCCTATGTCGTTATTCTTGGGGGCCATCAGCATCGGACCCCCTGACTGACTGGCGCGCCCCTGGGGCCGCCGAGATGAGGCCACCGTTGCGGAGATTATAATCAGAAACAACACCAGAAACAGAAATTC